GTGATTTCTGTGACCGTATGCAGGCCATCACATCTCCCTCCGCGCCTCGGAGCTGCGCTGGAGGTGTTTCCATGGAAACATGAGCGTGCTGCAATTCCTGCGCTATGATATGATTTGTAGCACACTTACAAGCTTCATAAATTTATGAGAGCAGCCACACTGAGAGTCACAGAGAAAGAGGTGCAAAGTGTCGAAGGTGTTTAATTTAGCGCAGGACTCTCGCTGTATCCATCCACATTTACTCGTATTTTTTGGCGCATTTATCCCATTCTGATTCCTAAAGGCTCACTATGACAACTAGAGATGTTTAGATCTTCATATCCCAAGGTAAAAAGTAGGGATGTAATGATTAACCGCCAGCCGGTTGAAAATCGATTTAAATATGTGACGATTCAAATCGGTTGAGATGCTAAACAAATCGCGATTCAGTTAGGGGTAGGAGTTTATATGAATGTATGTCTGAGGGGAACTTACTGTCTTTCGATGGTATTTTTTCTTTTCCTCTTGCCTCTGTATAATGCATATTGCTGTTCATAAGCGCAGCTCTGCTTTGTTTGCAGCGGTAACCAAGGAAACACTGTATCATTGCTGTTCATAAGTGCAGCGCTGCTTTGTTTACAGCGGTAACCAAGGAAACTCTGCATCATTGATGTTCATAAGTGCAGAGCTGCTTTGTTTACAGCGGTAACCAAGGAAACACTGTATCATTGCTGTTCATAAGCGCAGCGCTGCTTTGTTTACAGCGGTAACCAAGGAAGCGCTTTAAGCGCCACCTGCTGGCAGAGAGTGAATCTGCGTCTCGTTCAGCTCGTCTGCTGTTTCTGTTTCATGCAGATATTTTTTTATGCATAGTCTCACAAAACTGGTCAAACCATTCTGCTTTTGCTTCAAATTTCGAAATTATACAATCTAATTTAGATTAAAAACTGCTCATGTTGCATGTATGCAGCATCTTTGTTTGGATCATGATTAAAATGCAGTGGTTGCCTCTAATTTTAAATGGAAAGAGCTCAGACAAAGCCTTAGTTTGTTGGGGCTTGTTTTAAAATAAAAAAAAATAACTTGTTATTTACATTTACATTATATTTACATTTTGTCATTTAACAAATGCTTTTATACAAAGTGACTAACAAATGAGGACAATAGAAGCAATCAAAACCAACAAAATAGCAATAATTTACAAGTGCTATATTAGTATATTATTATAGTGTTATATTTCAATTTCACAAAGAAACGTACAGTATTTTGTCCTAGCAATAATAAAAGGACACATTTAATTTATAATTTGTCTTAAATCTCATTTTGTAAAAAATAAAATCGTGAATCGAATCGTGAGTTGAGTGATTTTTACATCCCTAGTAAAAATATGTTGAGGGTTTTATTCGCACGAACATGTGGCTGCTTAAAGGGACAGTTCACCCAAAGATGAAAATTCTGTCATTAATTACTCACCCTCATGTCGTTCCAAACCCGTAAGACCTTCGTTCATCTTCAGAACACAAATTAAGATATTTCTGATGAAATCCGAGAGCTCTCTGACCCTTCATAGACAACAACACAACTGAAATGTTCCCAGGTCCACAAACGTAGTAAGGACATCGGTATAATAGTCCATGTGACATCAGGGGTTCAACCACAATTTTGCAAAGCTACAAGAATACTTTTTGTGCTCAAAGAAAATAAAAATAACGACTTTATTCAACAATTGTGGAGAGTATTACGACGCATGCGCTTGCTTCCGCTTCATGTAAACAGAGCTCTCGGATTTCGTTAAAAATACCTCAATTTGTGTTCCGAAGATGAACGAAGGTCGGGTTTGGAACGACGTGAGGGTGAGTAATTAATGACACAATTTTCATTTTTGGGTGAAATATCCCTTTAAAACTAGAGCTGTAATACGTTTAACATGTTAATTTGGAAAGAGTAATGTGTTAAAATGATTAAGGCATTTAAGGCACTGCCCTGTCAATGATTCGTTACTGAATGAATCCACGGTTTTGACCGAATCAAGTGAATCAATGACTTAAAGACTCGTTTCTAAACAGTCACTGGCTGAAGTGAACTGCTGTTTTTGTCATTCCTCTGAAGAAGATTTCATTCATTTGTTTGGGCAATGCACCTATACAGAAACATTTTGGTCAGATTTTTTAATGTTTATTCAATCTTATTTTGAAAGTGACTTTTCTTTTTGTTTTAAAGACGCTTTCTTTGGATTATTTGAATACTCAAAAGAGAATATAGGGAAATATTACATTGTTAATTTGTGTTTGCTGTTGGCTAAATTTCACATTCACATTGAACAAACTGAGTGAGCCAATGATTCAGTGACTCATTCATAATAACAGACACTTGCTTTGTTTCTGAATGAATCAGTTCTTTAAACGAACAAATCAAGTGAGCTAATGATTCAGTGACTCATTCATAAAGACACTCACTTGCTTCATTTCTGATTAAATCAAGTGTTTGAATGAATTGAGTGAGCAATTGATTCTGTGATTCATTCATAAATAGAGTCACTTGCTTAATTTCTGAATAAATCAGGTGTTTGAATGAATCGAGTGAGCAAATGATTCAGTGACTCATTCATAAAGACAGTCACTTGCTTCGTTTCTGAATGAATCAGCCGTTTGAATGAATCGGTTGAATGAATGATTAAATGACTCACTCATTAAGACAGTGACTCGCTGCCTCCTAATGGCATTTTTTTGGTTACATATTTAGAGAATCATTTCATATTTCAACATATTTCATCATATGTTTTTTTTTTTTTTTAACATTAATACCCATTTTATTATCTTTATTTATGAATGCTGAATCAAAAAGACTTTTTAAAGCTATTTTTAAAACGGGTATTCAATGCTTTATTCAACAATAATGATCTTTTGGTGTAATTTCTTTTTTAAATTTTTTTAATTAATTTGAATAATTAATCAGCACACAAGGTAAACATTTTAATTGCTTGGCAGCTCTAGTTGAAACAATACTACAGTGAAAATTCACACTAGATCCAACTATAAATCAGTTCATTTGACCAAAGGGAGCTGCTGAATTAAATTATGCAAAGCCGCTCTTGTAAAAACCTCAAGATCCCGTTTTTACCCTTTTTAATCTGCGCTCTCAAACAAAAGCCCACGATCTGATGTGTGTTGAGTCCCGCTGGCCCTGTAATTACTGCCACATTAGATGGGATTTCAGACAGTAATGCAGAATTGTCTGCAGGTCGTGAAGTCAATATGACAACACTAGTTTAGAGTCACTGGCCAGCAGCAGACAGACACATTCTCCAGTAATAGAGTTTTAGGAATTCAATATAGGCATGAAATATTCACTGTAAGCGTGACAGATTACACACGTGTTCAAACAGAGCAGAAGAATCCAAATGTCTGGGGATAAATATGAAAAATGCAGTCACCAGAACACAAGAGAACTACAAAGACGTATGCCGTATTTACAGGATGAGGTGGTTAAATTTGAGTAAAAAGAGTTAATTTGTGTTTGCTGTTGGCTAAATTTCACATTCACAAACAAAAGTTTACTGGCTCTAAACCTCTCTTCATTTGAAAGCATTGAAACTGTATCTTTATATTCGTCCTTTGTGTCTTCTTGAGATGTAATAGTATTATAGCCGTTTGAACAAATCAAGTGAGCTAATGATTCTGTGACTCATTCATAAAGACACTCACTTGCTTTGTTTCTGAATGAATCAGCCGCTTGAATGAATCAAGTGAGCCAATGATTCTGTGATTCATTCATAAAGAGAGTCACTTACTTTATTTCTGAATGAATCAGCCAATTGAACAATCGAGTGAGCCAATGATTCAGTGACTCATTCATAAAGACGTTTAAATTTGAGTAAAAGGTTTTTTTTTGGTCAAAAAGGCAAAGTGCAAACCATGCTAATCATCACAAAAGCATCAAATGTCTGCATCTATACAGCTATAATTTTTTACTGAGTGAAAACGGTTTCAAAATGTTTTTTTCAGTGCACATTAAAAGCCCATGGTCGTGACCTTTAATTCTTTTTCTATATCATGATGGACAGATTGATGCTTCATCTCTGATGTTACGAGCAGAAGAACAAATGCATTTATAGTGAAGACGGATTATATTTGTGTAAAAATGGAAATACAGTCAGAGCGCTTCGGATGCACACTGAGCAGATTTATCCAGAAATATATATATATATATTTACATTAAGAAATACATAGAGTTGATTAGATTTTGAGTTGGCTCTGGACAGGGTTATTATAGTTAGAGTAAATTAAAACAAACAAACAAAACATAAACATTAACTGAAATAATATAAAATATATATAATATATATAAAAGTACCTTTTATCATTAACTTGCTGTGTTAAAAACTGAAAACTACATTGAAACTGAAATAAAAAATTAATAAAAACTATGTAGATATATTAAAAAAAAAAGACAGAAATACAACAATTTCTAAAACTTAAAAATTTAAATAAAAAAATATTTAAAAACTAATTAAAAGTGCAATAGTATCTCAATGATACTAAAATGACACTGACAATCCTTTTCAACTCTAATTTTAATGTGCTAAAGGCATCATTTTTTTATGGTAATGTCTCCATAAAATTTAATAAAATAAAATAAAATTACACTTTGAATTAAAAAAAAGCTTATTTTTAGTACCATCAATAACTGTTTTTGCATTGTAATATTTTCATGACAATTTTCTCATTGTAATGTGAATGAATTTTAATTTTTAAAAAAACAACAACAATTGTAGTACAATTTTGGTTTGAATCAGCTTAAAGGCATTACAAAAAAACTACAGTGATGTAAAAAAAATATTATTTAATAATAATTATTATAAAAATCAAAATAAGTATAAATACATAAGATTCATTTAGGCTTCATTTTCTCTGAGCAAAATATTTCTTCTTATTTTCATATAATATTTCTTATTTTTTTCATTGGTTCTGATGTGACGTGTTTTGAGATTTTATAAGCGAAGAGTATGTTGCGTTACTCACTTTCATCCGAAGCCTGTGGACCTTCCAGTGTACGGATGTAGTCATCCTGATGAGAAACACCAGAGAGAAATCATTATATAATCACATGCGTGACGTAAAATAAAACACATTCAAAGAGGTATGTTATCCTGATCTAGACCAAATAGTTCAAATGTTGCTTTGTTATACACAATATTTACTCAAAATTCTGTTAAAATTGTAAACCAGAGGGTTATAGATGTTTGATTAGTGTTATTGGTTTGAACATATACTGCTGTTGAATGGCAGTAAACCAGATTGTTAATGAGTCGGGCCCCTGAGGGCCTCCGGTGAAGCACAGACATCACACAGAAACAAACCTCCACTTCCTTCAGCAGCGTGAGTCCGGCGGAAAGCAGGAATGAAGAGAGAGAGAGAAAATTAAATGTAAACTTAGAAACACATGAAAGAGGACAGCTCCTCACTTTGCTTTAATTGTCATCTATTAATATGATCTGGGTGAATATGAGCCGAGGGATTTAAGGACTGCCAGAGCAATTTATAGTGTTTAGTTTTTTGGCAATAATATATGTGACCCTGGAGCACAAACCAGTCTTAAGTCGCTGGGGTATATTTGTAGCAATAACCCACAATACATTGTATGGGTCAAAATTATCGATTTTTCTTTTATGCCAAAAATCATTAGGATATTAAGTAAAGATCATGTTCCATGAAGATATTTAGTAAATTTCCTACTGTAAATATATCAAAACTTAATTTTTGATTAGTAATATGCATTGCTAAGAACTTCATTTGGACAACTTTAAAGATGATTTTCTCAATATTTAGATTTTTTTGCACCCTCAGATTCCAGATTTTCAAATAGTTGTATCTCAGCCAAATATTGTCCTATCCTAACAAACCATACATCAATGGAAAGCTATTTATTCAGCTTTAAGACGATGCATACATCTCAATTTCGAGAAATTGACCCTTATGACTGGTTTTGTGCTCCAGGGTCACGTATTATATCTAAAAGCTCATGTACAAGCAACATAAAAAAAAAAAAAAACGGAAAAAAGATCTTCAACTTTGCGTCTCTGTTCATCTGCAACTCTGAAGTCAAAATAAAATCAAATAAATATCAAAACGTACAATATTTCAAGGAATAGTTCAATCAAAAAAATTCTCAACATTGTCATTATTTACTCATTATTATATCCTCTCTGTTCATCTGCCTCTTACTTTGTGGAACTGCATTTGCAAAACTAAATAAAATAAAATAAAAACAATATAAAATGTTACAATATTTTAAAGAACCACTCGATCAAAAAGTAACATTTTGTCATTATATACTTATATCCTCATGTTATTATATTGTTATTATTTATTATATCTTTGTCATTCTAAACCTGTATGTTATTTATTTTACTGTGAAACAATACAAAAGGCAAATGTTTGAAGACTCTTGATGAGGATTTTTTATCTCAATCAATGACCATTTCAAGCTACAAAAAGGACCGAACACATTTTAAAAGTATTGTAATTGTAGTCAGATTTTCAGCAAAAAGTTAAATTAATCATTTGTTTGGTGTTTGATATTGATGTGGAAAAATGGTAACAGGAAAAAAATAAACACAAAATAATAGATTATATACATAATTAATGAAATTGAAAAGATAATATACGTTCTCAGTCCCACTGTAGATGCTCAGGGATTTTCTCATGCATGAAAACTGTGATTGTGTAAGACGATGAATCAGAAGCTGAAGAGCGAACAGAGAACATGTCTTCAGACACCAAGAGACTGACAGCAGCTCAGCTTCTCATTATAATGTTGTCGAGCTCCTGGAGCGAATCCGACTGTGAAGCTCAGCTGAAATTTAGTTCCAATGAAATTTGCATTCTTCACGCTTCACATGCATACTAAACCGACATCCACATTCTGCCAACACAATCAATCTGTGATTCTGTAGTGCTTAGGAGCCGCACTGTTCAATTAGATGCAGACAAAGCCCTGGAGAATGAACATAACGCAAAACAAACCAAAAACAGACAGATAGACACTAGTGCTCGATCAATATGTGGTTTGCAATGGCTGCTGCCAATACTGATGTCCGGAGATCACAAAACGTCCAAACATCTGCTGAGTAATCGACCAGGTTTAGTTGCTGCTGGTAGATGCTAAAACTACATCATTATGTGAGTAAAAAGCTACTTTTTGTTTCATTAACAGCCATTCAAAAATGCATAAGTTTATTCTGGCCAAAATAATTTTTTGCAAGCAACATATTACATTTTATAATATTATAGTAGATATGGAATAGACATGCATATATATATATATATATATATATATATATATATATATATATATATATATATATATATATATATATATATATATATATATATATATATATATATATATATATATATATATATATATATATATATATATATATATATATATATATATATATATATATATATATATATATATATATATATATATATATATATATATATATATATATATATATATATATATATATATATATATATATATATATATATATATATATATATATATATATATATATATATATATATATATATATATATATATATATATATATATATATATATATATATATATATATATATATATATATATATATATATATATATATATATATATATATATATATATATATATATATATATATATATATATATATATATATATATATATATATATATATATATATATATATATATATATATATATATATATATATATATATATATATATATATATATATATATATATATATATATATATATATATATATATATATATATATATATATATATATATATATATATATATATATATATATATATATATATATATATATATATATATATATATATATATATATATATATATATATATATATATATATATATATATATATATATATATATATATATATATATATATATATATATATATATATATATATATATATATATATATATATATATATATATATATATATATATATATATATATATATATATATATATATATATATATATATATATATATATATATATATATATATATATATATATATATATATATATATATATATATATATATATATATATATATATATATATATATATATATATATATATATATATATATATATATATATATATATATATATATATATATATATATATATATATATATATATATATATATATATATATATATATATATATATATATATATATATATATATATATATATATATATATATATATATATATATATATATATATATATATATATATATATATATATATATATATATATATATATATATATATATATATATATATATATATATATATATATATATATATATATATATATATATATATATATATATATATATATATATATATATATATATATATATATATATATATATATATATATATATATATATATATATATATATATATATATATATATATATATATATATATATATATATATATATATATATATATATATATATATATATATATATATATATATATATATATATATATATATATATATATATATATATATATATATATATATATACACATATATATATATACACACACACACACACACACACACACATATACATATATACACACAGTCATATATATACAGTATATATATCATTTTTTATTATATATATATATAGCATATAAAATTTCTATTGGAACTACAACTCTGAAGTCAGCTAAAATAAAATCTCACAATACTTTAAGGAATCATACAATCAAATATGAAAATTGTCATTTACTCATTATTATATGTTATTTGGATTACACAGTTTTAACAAACTAATAAGCTTAAAGTGATGCATGATTTTGTCAGACATTTGTCATTGATTTTATTTAAATAATCATATTTTCAAAATGCATGTATTTTACTCGTTTAGAATCAGCACAAATCGGTTCAATAAATATATATTTTTATAAATATGTATTTCGTTCAGTTAAAAAATAATGAATATGCTTAAAATATGTCTAGCTGTTAAACAAACGATATTCAGTTAAAATAAAATTATATTGAAGCAAACTGGATTAATTTGATGATAAACATAAACCTGATTAGTGTGAATTTTAACCACATTCAGTTTATTAGTGCTATTACAGAAATCTATTACAATATGCATGACAAATATGCATGTTTATTATTGTGTTTGGGTTAAAACTGTGTAATCCAAATAGATGGAAGCATAATATTCAATGCAACTACATACATCTAAATGTTTTTTGTTTTTCAGAGTCCCAAGCAGAAGGTTTGAAACTTAAAAAACTGAATGATCTGTTTAAATGGGTAGGATTTCCTCGTTGATGATTTAAAGATTAACTGACGAGTGACGGGCCGATGACCCAGCAGCTCCAGTAATGAAGCCTCGTCCACAGAACGCAGTGCTGCAGTGAGATGCTGCATGTCACTCTTCAAGACTCAAAAGAGCCTCTCTGCCTGTCAGCCTGTGATCTGAGAAGTTCTCCCCAAACGCTGCTCTCTGCAGTAACACTTTTGTTGTGGTTTCATTCGCAGAGAAAATCATATTTTCATCGCCGCTTTTGCGTGATTAGCTCTGCGCTCTGCTCCGACATCAAGTGAGTCTAACATAGACAGCATCCTAAATCAATTACAACCTCAGAAGTCAATAATTAATTTGTGAAACACTAATAAGAAA